AAAATACAAGTTAGAGTAAAATTGATTATCTTTTATTTCCCCGATGGGTTATCGTAAAAATTCCAAATACGTCCCGATATATTAGTCTTAGCTATATCTAGAACTTATAATTCTAGTTAAATTTTGTTTTTTAGCAAAATAGCAGCAACACAAAAAGTACATTTTTTTCACAGCCTATATATCATAGAAAACTAAATCTCTAACAAAATTTAGAAAAATAAAGATCAATCTACGAAAAACGATCTTTAATATGCTAAAAAATCAACAAAATTGGTCCCTTTTTTTCAAAGTTACAACTCGTTGAAAATGGGTAAAGCTTTATCGCTGTGGTATTTAATTTGACGGGCAGTTTATATCGGCTTTCTATCTATTAGTTTTAATGTCTATGGTACTTACTCACTCTCCCAAGTACTTGTAGCTTAAATATATTTTTATGCCTTTGTGAAGGTTTTTCCACTTGTTCTGTTATTGCTTCACAGATCGTTTATACTTAAGAGAATCGGGAAATTATAAAAAATTAAAACCTTTTTTTAAATAAACGAAAAAAATATTAAAAAAAAGAGAAAGTATATTTTGCCAAGCTTACCATTTTACAGCATATCATATATTACAACATTTGTAATTCGGACAGTTATATATCTTAAATCAAAATTTACATCAAATGGGTGCTTTGAAGTTACTACGAGTACATCAATATCAAAATCCATTATTGTCGTTAAAAGAACATAAACTTTTTAATTGTTATTGAAGTCAAGTAATATTTTAAACAAATATCTAAAGTTAATTATTTCTGTTTTTTGTTACTGTTAGGTTAGGATTAATCTTATAAAATGAACAGTCGTGCTTTCCATAAAATGAATAAAATGAAAAATATACGAAATAATATACATGTACTGATTTCTTTTCAAAATCGACAACTATGAAACGATGATCCCTTCCCCGACACAAACGGTACATTGTGAGACAGGAAATTGTAGAGAAAAAAAACCTATAACATAGGATACAACATTTTAATGAACAGTGCTTTCCATAAAAGCAATTAAATGAAAAAATATACGAAATAATATACATGTACTGATTTCGAAAAATAGACAACTATGAAACTATGATCCTTTCCTCGACACAAACGGTACATTGTGAGACAGGAAGTGGTAGAGAGAAACAAGAAGCCTATAACATAGGATACAACATTTTAATGAACAGTGCTTTCCATAAAATCAATAAAATGAAAAATGTACGAAATAATATACATGTACTTCTTTCGAAAATCGACAACTATGAAACTATATAATCCCTTCCCCGACACAAACGCGGTACATTGTGAGACAGTTAAATGTAGAGAGAAACAAGCCCTATAACATAGGATACAACATTTTAATGAACAGTGCTTTCCATAAAATTAATAAGATGATAAATATACGAAATAATATACATGTACCTACTGATTTCTTTCGAAAATCGACAACTATGAAACTATGATCCCTTCCCCGACACAAACGGTACATTGTGAGACAGGAAATTGTAAAGAGAAACAAGCCCTATAACATAGGATACAACATTTTAATGAACAGTTCTTTCCATAAAATCAATAAGATGAAAAATATACGAAATAATATAAGGAAAAACTTTTTTATTATTGACATTTTGAGAAAAATGCATTCTTCATAAAAATTTATATAAAGAATACATTTTACTGGAAATGTCAATAATAAAAAAGTGTTCCCTATGGAGCACAATCTGAGGAACATATTGTATCAGTCTGATGCCAAATAATAATAGATTTATAAAAGCTTCCACGGCTTATAAAAGATTTTTTATTGAAACCTTATAGTCTCTAAAAAACTAGTTAGTAGTAGTAGTCTACGCACAGTCTACACACAATCAAATTATTATCAGTAACTATTTATATAAGTGTAGAAGAATAACGGATTCAAAGCATTCATTGGATTTAACTGTAGGCAGTACCAAGGCTGAAGTTAGTTCTTTAAAAGAATGTTCAATTTACATTATTCCTAAGTCAAAGGTTATTAAGCCAGGTGCTGATTCACAATCACTTCCGTAAACAGATAATGTGTTAAAGATCTCCAAGTTTGAATAATTGTAATATTTAGAGATACCCACAGACATAAAATTGAGTCATATAGGCTGCTGGTGCCCTTATAAGTCACTTAAATATCAAATTTAGTACAAAATCGTATAAGGTGTCTCATAACTCTTAATTACTGTGAACTCGACACAAATATGTGCTTAAGAATAGAGGGGGGATAATGTAGAGGTGGCAACATTGCAAAGCTTCGATACACTGTCAATCAATTTCTGGGAGGCCACTGCGGCACTCAAAAAGTTTTTAAAATTTTTTTTATTTAATTTTACATATATAGAATTTTTTTGGTAAAAAAACTCATGGGCGTGGTTCAGGGGTCGAAATATACTATCTCTAAAAATATTTGGACTTATTGACCAGGATTAATTAACTTATCTTTGACCTTGCCCATTTTTCCAGTAAGATACTTAATTTTTTTTAATAATAATACTATTTTTATTAAAAAAAAACTAGTGAGCAGCGACCATGAAAATATTCCTTTTTATGTGTTAAATTCATTGATATATCATGTATAATCTCTTGGATACTACTTGATAATCACACTCTAACAAAAAACAATTATGTTTGTTTATGTTAGTTTTGTTTTAGATCTTTTAGAAACAATTTGAAATAGTGTAAAAATATATTTATTATATATATTAAATCCCTTTTAGTTGTCATCTCTGTTGATGATGCTAATGTGGTTAGCAAAAAAAAACCTAATTTGAAGTGATTCGGTATACAGGGTGTCAATATGTAGTTTCTTGTTCATGCAAGGCTTCGATAAGCATTATTTTTAACAAAATTCAAAGTTAAATAACCTAATTACTTTCAGTTTGATCCAGAACTAATCTTAAAATAGCTGCACTTATTTAAAAGACACTTAAATAACAAAAAATGATTGCTCATTCCAAAGATTTATTTGTTATTACGAGGACAAAATTGTCAGTATTATGGCCAATCGTTAAACAAAAGATATTTTAATGCTGTATTCTTGCGAAAAATCCAGCACAGTTTAGTATCCAGCAACATCAAATAAAAATAGGGAAAAATGTTGACACAGAGTCGCCCACATCTCGATTAAAATTGGCACGAACCTAGCCGTTACAGAAAACTTTGTTTTGAATGTCTAAAAATATAATAATATCACTTGTACGTCTCCTCTAGCTTGCAGTAATAACAAATAAAAATATTTCTTAGCGAGAATAACAATTTAATATAATATGCATCATTTTTTTGTTGATATAATTTTTGTTCCAGAATTATGATTCATTCTGATCAAATTATATACCATCCGGTACCGTATGATACCGAAAAAAAGCGTCAAAGAGAGCTAGGGAATGTCAAATCAAAAGTCAATCTCTAGATATCATTGTATATTTTATTATTTTATATCATTCAATATAAAGATAAATTACAACCTTCTTAAGGCCAACTGAAAATAAAGAAGAGTCAGGGGTTAAGTAATAGACGTCTAGGGCTTGACCTCGCCAAAATTATCATCGATTTTTCATTCCCCAGCCGTCTTTGACGCCGTTTTTTTTTTCGATTGTGCGTCGATCATTTCTATTTTCTATTGCAGAGATAACAGAATATGATTTCCGTTTAGTTATCAAATTATGCAGTTGTTTTCCGTGAAAATTATTCATCGGTTTATTCATACAGGTTCAACAGAAAAAAACTAAAACTAATCTAATAAAAAAGTAGGCAGTTCTAAAATTTATAAAATAAAATTAAATGGTGAAAAGTAACTATAACTATAATATAATTACTACCTTACCTTTATAATGAACCCAGAAATTAGTAATCCGTAACATTTTTAACTGAAATAACTAAACTAAAAAAACTACTACTACTCAAATAGATTTTAAATAAACTACAGTCCGACGGCGGGTTTCGAACCTCTGTCCCGAGACAACTGAGCCTACAAACCTACGCTAATTTTTTTTGCATGAATTCGCTGGTTTATTTTTAGAAAATACGTCTCTATAAATATAGGTTTATTTTTAGCACTATTGCAATTATTTTATAATATGTTAATTCAATAATTTTATTTTTATTAATTTTTCTAGAAAAAAAAGATGAAACAGTTTCTGTTGAACCTTTATTGGCATTAAAATATTTAAAATTTATGATTTCAGTCTAGTATCTATATTGTCATTTTTGTCAATGATTATTTCGATTCCAAATATCTCGAGAACGATTACCCGTAGCGATTTTTACCAAGAGGCCTTTTTTACGTAAAAAACATTGGAAATATATATTTTTTCACTCAGTAGAATAATACAGGTACGGACAAAAATTTATTAGTCTTCAAAACGTTTAAAAAATATGTAGGTGGCGCTCCCTACAGGTAGCAGTCATATTGACATCTAAATCAAATTTCTCATGTCAAAAACACAGTTCAGAAATTATTTCAAAAAAAAATCGAAATAAAAATGAAACACACAATTTATACGAACTTTTTACTTATTTTTATATGCAGAATATGCAGCCGAAGTTTCCAGAATACTATCCGACCACCCTGTATATATTAGCTATCTTTCTGACACCTTGTATTGTCATTGACTCTGGGAGGGGTAGGGGCAATATTAAGTAAAGTACCTACTAGCCTTACTAGGTTTAAATTAAATTTACTGAAATGTATTGTGACTATTTGTGACTATGAAAAAAAATAACTTTGATGGGTCTGAATTTTTTATTTTAAATGGTGCTTATTAATTTCTTTTGTGGCAATTTTATTTTAGACCACATTCTAGCTTACTTATAAATTTCTTTCTGGTAGGGGTAATTACCCCCATTACCCCTCGCGTATATGCGCCCCTGTTCTATCATAGCATTGTTAGAACGTTATTTTATTTGGGATTTACTATGGTAGGCGCGACCATAGAACACCACAGCTTATTACTCTGTTATTATTTGAACAATATTTGGAATTGGTGGGAGTCGGTGTCGACCTAGAGAGGTCGCTTGGGGGATATTTTTCGAATTTTCCAACAAGATTTCAGCGCGTTTCAGTTTTCAGTTTCAGTCTCGTCGGTAACTACCGCGCGGTACGTTTCAAACCAGGAAATCAACCTAAATTATCAACACCATCAGTATTTTTTTTTGTAAACCGGTAATACAACAACACAAAATATAACAATGGTGAGTACCTAAAATACAATATTATTTTTGAGTTTTTTCCTGAAATTTTAAATCAACACGTTACTAACTTTTTTAGAAGTTTTTTCATTACTTCTGATTGACTAACATTTTTTTTTTAATTATATACAGTATATCCCCGGATTGTCTTTACAAGAGGAATTTTTTTGTTATTGCTGACATTTTGAGAAAAATACTTTAGTCTCACAATGTACCATTTGTGTCGGGGGAAGGATTATAGTTTCATAGTTGTCGATTTTCGAAAGAAATCAGTACATGTATATTATTTCGTATATTTTTCATTTTATTGATTTTATGGAAAGCACTGTTCATTAAAATGTTGTATCCTATGTTATAGGGCTTGTTTCTCTCTACAATTTCCTGTCTCACAATGTACCGTTTGTGTTCAGGAAGCGTTCATAAATTCATAGTTATCGATTTTCGAAAGAAATCAGTACATGTATATTATTTCGTATATTTTTCATTTTATTGATTTTATGAAAAGCAATGTTCATTAAAATGTTGTATTCTATATTATAAGGCTTGTTTCTCTCTACAATTTCCTGTCTCACAATGTACCGTTTGTGTCCGGGAAGGGTTAATAATTTCATACTTGTCGATTTTCGAAAGAAATCAGTACATGTATATTATTTCGTATATTTTTCATTTTATTGATTTTATAGAAAGCACTGTTCATTAAAATTTAAAATGTTGTATCCTATGTTATAGGGCTTGTTTCTCTTTACAATTTCCTGTCTCACAATGTACCGTTTGTGTCCGGGAAGGGTCCAGAATTTCATAGTTGTCGATTTTCGAAAGAAATCAGTACATGTATATTATTTCGTATATTTTTCATTTTACTGATTTTATAGAAAGCACTGTTCATTAAAATGTTGTATCCTATGTTATAGGGCTTGTTTCTCTTTACAATTTCTTGTTTCACAATGTACCGTTTGTGTCCGGGAAGGGTTAATAATTTCATACTTGTCGATTTTCGAAAGAAATCAGTACATGTATATTATTTCGTATATTTTTCATTTTATTGATTTTATAGAAAGAACTGTTCATTAAAATTTAAAATGTTGTATCCTATGTTATAGGGCTTGTTCCTCTTTACAATTTCCTGTCTCACAATGTACCGTTTGTGTCCGGGTAGGGTCCAGAATTTCATAGTTGTCAATTTTCGAAAGAAATCAGTACATGTATATTATTTCGTATATTTTTCATTTTATTGATTATATGAAAAGCACTGTTCATTAAAATGTTGTATCCTATGTTATAAGGCTTGTTTCTCTCTACAATTTCCTGTCTCACAATGTACCGTTTGTGTCCGGGAAGGGTTCATAGTTTCATAGTTTCGAGACCTAAAAAATCAAAACGTGTTTCTATATCAAAAAAAATTGTGTTCTCATCCTTTGATAGATTGTTTTGATATAATTTTAATTAACGTCATATAATAAAGAAATTTTTAGTAAATTCAATCATGTTTTCATGTTTTTTTTTTCTTTTCTCTAAAACGGTATGGAAATTTGAAAAAGTATAAACGGGATTAACCATTTTAGAACAATCAAAAATTTTCACGAAGAAAACATTTTTCCCAAAATGTCAATAATAAAAAAGTTTTCGAAGTAAAGACAATCGGAGGACATACTGTATATATTGATTTTACAGAAATATTAGCTAAATACATTTCTAACACTTTAACAATTCCAAGTCTCATTAAATAAACTTTTTTACGCGAAAAAATAAATTTAGCGAATTTCAAAATTCTTTTCATTTTGGACTTAACAAAACATGAGGAAATTTTGATTTTGTGTTGCAGCTTTTTTCGCGGCAAGGCGGCAGGCCACGACGTGTATGTATATTTTGGAAATTTTCGATGTTGTACACTTTTCTTGTTTCCCTTTTTTGACACTTTTCTCATCAAAATAACAAAATCAGTCCGATATAACATCTTTCTTTCATATCTATTTCGTCTAAATCAACCATATTTTCTATACGTACGTATTTTGATTCTGTGCAGCTCAATGCAAAACAGAACATCTTTAGGTATTTATACAGGGTGTCTCGCTCAGAACCAAGTCCTGGAGGTTTTTTGCAAAAAAATGTTAAACATTTTACATTTCATACATATTTTTACATAACAGAGAGTTAATTTTAATTATTCTATCTATCTCTTTAATTCTAGAAAACTCACTGTACTTGATTTTTTAATACAGACTAATTTAGATTTTAACAGGTATTTTGCAGATTTTGCAGAACGCTTATTTCAGATTCTGTTATCGCTATATTACCAAGTATTTTCAATCAGGTTACATAGATAATTTCTTGTCCATGTGGCAACACAGGGCGTCGAATAACTTGTTTGATGCCGGCGGTTCTCAAAATGTTAAGCATTATATTATTAAAGTTAAATAACTCGGTTATTTTCAATTTATTTTGAAAATGGTAAATAAAAAATATATTTCTTCTGTCCAGATCTATCAACTACTCTCGAAAATACTTTACAAATTAAGAGACACCCTGTATACTAAAGACCAAACAAAATGTTTCATCATCATTACTAAAGTATTACATTTGTTTAGCTTTTGAATTACAAATATCAGTTGTAATTGTTTCTTATTTTTCCGAAAAAAAAATTGTTGGCTACATACCCTTGAAGAGTAAACAAAGTATTGTTATCAACATTATTGTTTTTCTGTTATTCTTCGTTCTACACCTGACTGGCATTATACCATAATAAGATTGGTTGTAAACATACTACCCTACACGTAAACAATGTAATTTTATTTAATCTTTAAACATAAATATAATTCTCCTTTTGTATCTTAATGATAACACTGTCTATGTCTCTACTTCAATTGTCAATACTAACTTTTTTAGCTATTTATTTTAAGTATATTTGTTACAAGTACATATTCATGCACAAACACATACAAACACCACCAAAATAAGTAAAAAGTCTACATATAAGCTTTAACAAAAGGAAAACATTATTTTTGAATGGTTTTAATCTGTCCAGACCTAATCTGTCCACCAAACCAAACATTATTTAATTTGCGATAATAGGTACATTTTTTTTAAATATGCATTTATAACCATATATGTGGACTAAAATTCTTTTATATTTTTTTAAAAATATATTGAAGGGTTCCTAGACAAAAACTGGAGCCACCCTGTATATTTAAATTTTTTAATTACTATTATTATTTTAACGAAATACCTAATTAAATATTTAACACTAAACAACGGATGCATTATATATATTTATAAGTAAAAAAAGATATTATCTCATCATAAAGGAAAACAATATCTTCTATGCCTAGCTTATTCAAATTGTTTATTGTAAATTGAACTGGTATGATACCATATAAGTACGTGTGGAATACTGACCAAAAGAGCCTTGAGATTTATGCATAATAGGAGTTGGATCATATTTATGAAAGAACGTTAGAACTTATGCAATGTGATTAGTTTTTTAATAAGTAGAAAACAGGAAACGATGAATGATGCATCTCATCAAAAATCTACAGGGGGTTTTTCTCACACAAAAAAACATATATTTGATACCCATTAAACTTTTAGTTACTTAATTGATATTATGAACTAAAAAGGAATAGTCTATCATTTTGTAAATGTCTATGATCTATGCATGAACTATACCTACAATTATTGGTTTGCTTATAGAACCCATTACACATTATACACTTTGCCGCTGTCATCACAATGCTTTTTTCCTAATGTCGACACAAAAAACATTTTTCGATACACAAAATGTTGCAATGTTGCCAAACCAAACCATCAAACCTATCGTTTAGAAAGGGCGTTCCTTAAGGGTATTATTTAAGGATATATTACTTATTATTCCTTAAGGATATTATTTAAGGAGTAAATTTTCGAACCTGGATGTCATTAAGGAACACCCTGTAGGTCTACGATATTTACTAATACTTGTTTGTTGCCTTAATCATATATATTTTTGTGTATATGTTAATAATATTTTATTTATATCCGTTTATTTTTAATAATCTGGAATATGGCCAAAAGGCTTAACCAAACAAATTTCGAAATGGGCCAAGATTTCGGAGATTTTTCAAAAATTATGTCCGATTATATTTCCAGTGATTAATTTTGTTAAAGCGTGCGTATCGTTTAGAATAATATATAGGAATAGCACTGCACGATCGAAAAAAAACGGCGTCCAGTTGGCTTGGATCGATGACATTCCCCATAAAATTTTACATATAAAATAACAGCGTTCTTCATTTCACAGCCATCGCTGACGTCATTTTTTATTTCGATCATATTGTTCGAATATACCGGGTGTTGCATTGTCGGACGGGACATAGGAAATCCCATGTAAATTTTAATGGGGTCAATGATTGGCTTCCCTAATTATTTTAGGGAATAATTCTATTTAGGTTTATTGAAGAGCACTAAAACCCACATTCAAAAGAATAACTTTATCTATTTTTGATTAGCCCGTTTACGAGTTATCGCCGATTTCTTTTTAAATATTTCTCCTTTCTTATGGCCCTGTATTTACTTATGAGCACCAGTCAAGGTAAAAGATAACTGTCAAATGAAGTTGTCATTTAATAGTAGTACTTAAATTAATAAGTTATTGAATATTGTAATAATACTATAATTAACCTTGTAATTTATTACTTTATTTTACTTTAATTCATATTAATTTGTATTTATAAATACATCTTTAAGATTTCCGATGTAGGAATGAGTTTTCAATAATAATAAAGCTAAATAGGTAAATTTCTGAAAAGACAACTTCATTTGACAGTTATCTTTTACCTTGACTGGTGCTCATAAGTAAATACAGGGCCATAAGAACGGAGAAATATTTAAAAAGAAATCGGCGATAACTCGTAAACGGGCTAATCAAAAATAAAGTTATTCTTTTGAAATGTGGGTTTTAGTGCTCTTCAATAAACCTAAATAGAATTATTCCCTAAAATAATTAGGGAAGCCAATCATTGACCCCATTAAAATTTACATGGGATTTCCTATGTCCCGCTCGACGATGCAACACCCGGTATAAGGCTCTATATTAGAGATGTGCGATACGAACGATTTTTCAGAATATCGATCAGATCAAAACAGAGTATAAATATAAAATATATAAAAAATATAAGTAATAAAAAATAAGTAATATTTGGAATCAATGAATAAAAAGACTGCGGAAGAATTTTAATACCGTATGGTGGAAAAAAACGGCGTAAAATTATATGGGGAATGTGTCATCTATCGTCATTTTCAAGCCAACCGGATGCCGTGAAAATGCAATTTTTTGTCACCTTTGTTTGACGTTTAATTTGACATATTTGAACATGATTTTAAATTTTGCGAATTTGTGGTGCTTTTGCGATTTTATTTTATAATATTTCTTGTTTTTACTCTCAAAATTTATTTTTATTAGAAATATACTTTTGAATAATTTTAATAACTAAATTAAATACTAACTCAACACAAATCAAAACCAGCAAATTATTGAGTTTATCCAACTTGACTTTTTGTTCACTGTGTGGAAATAACAAATTCAAATACTGTTTATAGTTATTAATCATTCGATAACATTGATGTCATAACAGTTCTGTAACTGTCTCAACATTACAGATAATTAATGTCTCAAGCAATTTAGGTTTATCCAGATATCCATATATTTTCGTTCGATAATTGGCAGAGCATTTCTCGGGGATTTTGGAGATTTTATTTTCGAATAAATTGTTTCACCTGTTGCCAGACTCTTTCAATCTCTGTATGCAACGTCCATCTGTTCTCCAAAACTCTCTTTCCTTGGCACATCATCAAAATCGATGAGCAATTAAGTTGCAAAATGATACGAACACACTGTGTGTGGAATCGTGCGCAAAATTTTATATTTATCGCTGGAATTAGAAATTCTCCGTGATTTATATGTGTTTTTCTTTTAAAAACATCATTATTATTAACTCTAATAACGCTTCGTTACAATAATAATATTTATCTATTAAATCACTACATCATTTATATATTCGAAACCAATTAAATTCATTCTTGCCAACCATGGACATATTCGGCGCCAGGCTGACTAACTGGAATTTAAATTTCCCGCTGGGGATTCAGGTGGTAGCTCTGCTGAAAAAAACGTCAAATTGCCGCATTTATTTATTTATTGCTTGACATTTGTCATTCATTTTGACACTTTAGTTTTGTAATACGAGTTTTTAGTATAAATTAATTGTGTTGATGTTTTAAGCTTAAAATTTTTCACTAGCAGATCTTGCAGTCGAACATTGTTCTTTTTAGAACTACTTTTAGTGTGAACTGTAGAGGGTGGGTCAAATTCGACGCCTTTAAATGGAAACACCCTTTTCTATAGGAGATAGACAAAAAGTAATATCGGTGTCTGGAGCTCAATTTTCATCAAAAACATGATGGTGAAAACCGCACATCAATATCTGTTACCGTTTCGGAGTTACGGGGTGTTTTTCAAAAATGTGCATTTTTAACAAATCGCTGTAACTTTTTTGCTATGGAAAATTTTGTATTTTTACGAAAACATTTCCAAAGCACCTTTTTACGTAGAATTTAATGGTTTAAGTATAATTTTTTTAAAATTAATAATTTAAGAGTTATCAACAGAAAAATTGATTTTTTATTTGGGACACCCTCTATATTTTTAATTAATTGAAAATAATTTAAAATTACCTTTCAAAAAATATAGCACACTTGATATTTTGTTATAATCCCCTTCGAAATACAGAAGTTTTAAAAGTTCGCCACTTTTAACTAGTAGGCTTTGGACCCCTTATTGATGATATGCCCTTAATGGAACTCGAAAACATATTTTTCCAGCCCCAGAACGCTGAAATTATCAGCAAATTTTTGCAGCCAATTTCAAGAATAATTGAATAGCTAACCAAGATCCCAGCCGTTGGCCGTCGAGTCCGCCTGACTTAGTGCCCATGGATCTAATCCTATGAATATATATTTGCGTAAGAATAAAGATTCCTTATTCTTCCGTATAATTTCGACAAGAATTAGAAATACTTAGCAGTTATGAGAGGGTATCTTTCACCCCCACTGAATCAATGAATTCCGCGAGAAATGTTCAGAAACGGTCGATATGTCGAACACCTGTAGCAAAATATCATGTCTTGGTTTGCTATTTATTTTTATTGTTATTAGATATAGTTTAAATGTGTTGATGTTGGTTAAATATAGTTTTAAATTGTTATAGAATTCTGCATCTTTCATAGCAAATATTATTTTCGTTTTAATTGATGCTCAAAGCTAGATTTTTTTTGCATTACAACCGGTGCCGTTCAAAGCCTACTTATTGAAAGCGGGCGAATTTTTATATACTCTATATCTCGAAGAGGAATCGAGCAAAGTATCAAGTGTGTTATATTTTTGGAAAGGTAATTTTAAATTATTTCAATAAATTAAAAATATACAGGGTGTCCCATATAAAAAATCAAATTTTCTGTTGATAATTCTTCAAATTATTAATTTTAAAAAATTATACTTAAACCATTAAATTCTACGTAAAAGGTGCTTTGGAAATGTTTTAATAAAATACAAAATTTTCCATAGCAAAAAGTTACAGCGATTTGTTAAAAATGCATATTTTTGAAAAACACCCCGTACCTCCGAAACGGTAACAGATATCGATATGCGGTTTTCACCATCATATTTTTGACAAAAATTGAGCTCCAGACACCGATATTAGTTTTTGTCTATCTCCTATAGAACAGGGTGTTTGTCCATTTAAAAGCGTCGAATTTGACCAACCCTGTACAAGATAGCCTAATAGCCGTAAAAAACTCACTAACTATTAGAATATTTTGAAAGTGCTGTTAAGAAGGTGAGTTTTTGTGTTTAAAGTTGTTTAAAGATGTTTGTGAAAAACTTTTTACAGTGGAACAAAAATTAAATTATTATTAATCAATGGATATTATGAGTTATTGACTTACTCTCTCCTGCTACTTTTTTCTCTGGAACTTCTGCCACCATCCGACGAAAAATTGCCCTGACTTTTCACTATTTCCAAAGTCAAATTCTGTTTATTTTCGTGGTTCTTGCCTTGGTCGTCACCAGAAACGTTGTCCAAGATCGTCTTGATAAAATCAATATTCGGTTCTTTCTGAACCAGTTTGAATAGTTCAGCTAATTGAGTATCATTGTCGGTATGTTCGTCTTTATGTTGCTTCAAGGTGTACTGAAGAAGTTTGATCAGTATTTCCTCTTTAGGATTCTGTAAAAGAACAGTAATATTTAATACGAAACTCGCTAGAGGTCAAAAAGTTTATTAAAAATTCTGTAAATCATTTGAAATTGTAAATCATTGATAAACAAGTATCGTTGTACCGTATAATCGAAAAAAAAGGCGTCAAAGACGGCTGGGAATGACAAAATTTTGGCGAGGTCAATATCTAGATGTCATTTACTTTACTTAATCTAAAAATAAATTACAACCTTCTTAAAGCCAACTGGCCGTAAGTCCCAGGCTTGACCTCGCCAAAATTATCATTGATTCTCATTCACTGGCGTCTTTGACGCCGTTTTTTTTTCGGTCGTATGGTACAACCTGTATATTTGATCTAAATAAACCATTGAATGATAAGACGGAAATAGTACAGTGTTCTGGCACGCCAATCGTTGCATTTTTCACTCCAACTATCGTGTTTACTCCAAGTTCCCCAATTAGTCCGCAGTTTTATCTCGTACCAGTTACTCCGAGGTTCTTATTTAGAGCTAGACCCATAGACATTATAAGATATAGATTACAGAATTCCATACAGCGTGACCCAGAAAATTGTCCGTTTATATTTTTACAAAATTCCATACCGTTTTATTAAACTTTTTTATTATAGCATTCATATTTAAAAATATCTTTAAATATCTCACAAACCAAAGTTTTTAAACAAATTAAACCCTTCTAATAAATGTCTTATTTTATGTCCAAGAATCCAAAAATGAAATAAAATACCGGGTGTTCCGTAAGAAAAAATATAACTTTGGTATGGATCTTAGTTATGACACACCCTGTACATTTCAAAATAATTTTAAATTATGCACATTGCCTTCCCACATACACCCATAAACTATTTTGTTTCTACATCTTTCCGTTTTCGTATAATCAACCGAGGCGAATGAGGTGCGCCACCCTGTATAGTAATATAATTTCGTTTTCATTCATTGATAGAATTTTAATTAACGTCATATTTTTTGCTGTTTTAAAATGTTAAAGAAACCCATTTTTTTAATTAAACTGCCCGTCAAGTTAAATACCACAGCGATTTTTTTACTCATTTTCAACGAATTGTAACTTTGAAAAAAATTGACCAATTTTGTTGATTTTTTTAGCATATTAAAGATCGTTTTTCGTAGATTGATCTGATTTTTCTAAATTTTGTATGAGATTTAGTTTTCTATGATATACAGGGTGTGAAAAAAAGGAATGTAATTTTTGTAAATTTTGTGTTGCTGCAATTTTGCTAAAAAACAAAATTTAACTAGAATTATAAGTTCTGGGTATAGCTAAGACTAATATCTCGGGACGTATTTGGAATTTTTACGATAACTCATCGGGAATAAAAGATAATCAATTTTTACTATAACTTGTATTTTTTCTGCCTTTCTTAAGATATATGCTAACAAAACTGAGATTAAGTTTAAAATTGTAGGATATTCGTTACTTTTACAATGTAAAATTAAAAAAAAATGATTTAACTAACGCAGTTTAATACAGAATCTTTTAAAAATACGACCAGCGAAAAAGTAAAATTATTTTTTTTAATATTCTAAACTTAACAGCCCATAAGGTTAATATAAAAGCTCGACACGTATTTGATATTTTTGTAAAAACTCTTTTTGTGTCTAAAAATATGTAGTTTAGCTGCAACTTAGTAGTTTTTTTTTAATTTCACATTGTAAAAGTAACGAATATCCTACAATTTTAAAGTTAATTTCAGGTTTGTTAGCATATCTCTTAAGAAAGGTAGAAAAAATACAAGTTAGAGTAAAAATTGATTATCTTTTATTCCCGATGAGTTATCGTAAAAATTCCAAATACGTCCCGAGATATTAGTCTTAGCTATACCCAGAACTTAAAATTCTAATTAAATTTTGTTTTTTGGCAAAATGGCAGCAACACAAAAATTACATTCCTTTTTTTCACACCCTGTATATCATAGAAAACTAAATCTTATACAAAATTTAGAAAAATTAGATCAATCTACGAAAACCGATCTTTATTATGCTAAAAAAATCAACAAAATTGGTCCATTTTTTTCAAAGTTACAACTCGTTGAAAATGAGCAAAAAAATCGCTATTACTTTTAACGTCTATGGGCGTACCCCGAACCACCCTGTAATAAAAGCACCCCGCAGAGTGATTCAGACTTCCAAAATAGAACACCAAGATCGATTTCAGCTTGTTTTTCCGTATTTTCCCAAGAATTTTCCTCATTTTCCGTTGTCTAGGTGAAGGTTTG